GTCTTTAGCTTCTGCCTCACTGAGCTACCAGGACGATTCTGGATTCATGCTATAGGCAAAGTGGAGAAAATTGAAAAACGTGGGCCATTGAAGGTGGGGGGACTATTGGGAACTAAATGAAAGCCTATTGGGCAATAAATATTCATTTATTTATTTGTGGACGCAGAGTATCTGCGCTTAATCACAGATAATCGACAATCACAATCATTGGACAATCACAATCGACAAGCCCATCAGTTGAAGTCAGACAAATCCCGTAAAAATAAATTAATAAATACAATAATAGAATAAATAATTAAATATTCTAAATGGCCTCATAGAAGGATATAATCGTCAGAAACAATCAGTACGTGAACAGTAGTGAAATCGTATAATCATCGACCAAGTGCGGATTGATCCCGTGACCGCTCGCTCGTCAGACGGCACACTTTCCACTGCACCATGCGACGAGACTGCCTAGCGTTCTGAACGCATCCTTACTTTCGTAGCCCACATTCATGCCCTTACGCTGCGCTGAACGCAGCAGCATCTTGTCCCTTTTCTCGCCTATTCTGCAGGCCCGAAAGCTGCCTGATCAACTGGAAATCTGTGAAATCTCGTGAAGCCCTGAAGGGGTACCAAGCAAAGTTTGTAGAAGCTACTCGACAACTCTTCAAAAGAATACCTGCCCACTCTTGGAAAACAATCAATACGATAAGGGGAAACAGCAAAAGGGCAGAATGCCCCTCCCCAACCCCTCTCCCCCTCCATCCCCCCCCCCCCCCCCCGAGAAGAACTGCGTCAAAGAAAGCTGCATCAAATCATCTGAATCTGTCAGTCTAGAACCTTTTGCAGGTTGATTCATGCAGGGTATCCAGTCATAGTTGAAACCGATATATCTGAGGCACTCGCGGATTTTCCCCATATTTCCCTTTTTACTTCATTGATTTTCATTCTTTTTTTGTTTTTTCATATTTCCATAGTCAGTTGTTCAATTCCTATTTCAGTTATGGAGTAAGATCCCAATGATTATCAATCAATGTTCACAACGACGATATCTCCGAATCCGCGGATACAGTAATCGAGACGAAATCAAAGTGCACGTATTGCCAAATAAAGATGTAAGTCTCAAATCCTTCAGTATCTTGGGGTAAAAATTGTTATGACTTTATTCTATTTAATATAATTTAATTTTGTTTATTATTGGGTTGTTTCTGAAGTTCCCCACCATTGCCCCACTGAGAATGTTGACAGTCCCTGCGGTAAAGGGAAAAAAGCTCAGTCCCCAAATACCACAGACTCACGCACTGGTCCCGCCTAGTGTACAAACCACGCCCATCGTGAAGAGACTCAAAACAAACAACAGATCCTAGATCCTTTGAAACAGCTGGGACTCTTTATTTTCTTAACGTGTCCGACAACTCAGGAATGGCAGCGCCGATTGATAAACTTTACAGGGGCAGTTGGACACGGGGGGGGGGCATTCTGCACATTTGCCACTCTCTTCGACGAGTCAACTCATCTAGAGAGCCATTTCGTGGGCTTACAAAGAGTTGACAGGTTTTAACACGGTGGCTCGTCGAGCTTGCTACAGCTTCACAAGAGCTCACAGGTTCCATCAGAGTGAGACTTGTAAACCAGAACTAATAGTAAAGCAGCAACAGTGCAGAATGCCACCCCCTCCCCTCGCCAAACTGCGCTCATTCACACTTTTTTTCTGGTTCTTTATGATTCCTTTCAGTTTTTGGTTTTCATTTGCCATCAGATTTTTCAGTTTCCAGGCATTTTCGAATGGCGAAAGCTGCTCTATAGTATCACTGGGGGTTGGGAGAGATGTGAAAGTGGAAATGTCTATGAAGGAAGACATGCCGAATTGTTCATTCTTTGGCGCTGATCCTATAAAGGAACCAAATCAGGAAATGTTTGAAGCGGTAAGTCCCATTCTATGCGCAGAGCTAGTGTTCAGCTCAGGACGGAGATCTACCGGGGTTCAGTTTGTTTTCTCAGAATTACTTGAAAAAAGCCCAGTCAAGTGACTTTTTCAGGTAGGTGTCTTCTATCATATTGCTGTTGGTGGTAAAAACGGCACCTCGATGGCCACAGTTCTCGAGCCAGACAGTAGGTCTCTTCAAGAACAGCTCTTTATTTTGCATGCATATACAGACTAATGTTCCTTCATATTTCCCTTCAAAAATGTTTTTCAGCTAAACGGTACCGTATCCGAGAGGTGAACCACGTGGATATAGCGACCTTTCTAGGAAGATTCATTAGAAAACAGGTGAATCTCATACTTTCCTTGGGTCCTCTTCTTGTGGTCTTGCTCAAAATCTAGCCGTAAACCCACTTCCAAAGGCGGTCCTTGAGATGTGCGAGGTCAGTGGGTCCGCAGCTGCAGTAGTGTGCAGCGTTCTCCGCTCAAAAGTGCAGAGGAGCGAGACTGGAGGGCGGTGATAACTGAGGCTTCCATGCTGCGCCCGCGCTATCCTCAAGGTGCAGCACTTGTGTCGATACCAGGGTTCCGGTTACAAGGCATCTGTCAACCGCTCTCTCGCTGCGAGGGTCCAGAGGTGTTTTCTCATCGCACCTTCTGGTCCAGCATTCAGGGGAAAGGAAATAAGGAGGAGCGTGACAGGAGGAAGGAAGAAAAAGAGGGAAGGAGGAAGGAAAAAGCAGGGAGAAGGAAGGCTCCGCGGCTGACAGATATCCTGATACTTCAAGGTCCCGCAGCGAAACATGTATTCAGCGGTAGAGAACAACCAAAAGTGAGAGAGCGCAGACAAGTAGCGCGATGGGCTGGGCACAGGCGTGTGCCTGGCAGTGCAGCAGCGCGAGCAGACTTTTGCTTTTTTTTCGCCGCGTTTTACCGGTGCACACAACGCGTGCGTTTGCAGGTGAATCATGTGCGGGGCCAAGGTAGGCCTACCCCAGAACTTATACAGAATTGCAACTATCACTCAAATTGGATATGATTTTTCCCAAAAACTCCGGATTTTGTTTTTTTAATGATTCTATATCGTTAATATATAATTTGTGTATCACTAAATAGCTAAAGGCTTTTATCGTTAGTAAACGTCGACCAACTATGCTCGATAATCGAAATGGGCGGGAGTACGGATGTGTTACCGTACTTGTTAAAATCCGGAGATTTGGAAAATTCTGATGTGATTCTGTGTCAGGTGAGCATTTCTCAAGGGTTTTCCCTAATTGTAAGTGATCCATTTTGGAATGATGAAGGCATGGTCCGCGCTTGTCGTATGGACTCGGCTTGAAAAACAGGAACTGAGACGCCGTCGACTACGATAGATATAGGTGGCCTGAAACGGGAAAAATCTGCATCCAAAATTTTTTCACTAAACCAAATGCGACCACCCTCTAGCGACGAAATACGACCTCCGACGAGGATTTTTCATCATTCATTTGACCCTGAGGCCAGTGAAAGGCTTCTTTGTCTTCGATCATACGATTAGCGCAGAATGACCTTCTGCTGGGTTTTTTCTAGCCTAATATCCTCACTTGTCTTACTTCAAAGTTCAGATCAATGTTGAAGTCCATAACCCTGATTACGAACAAAAAGTGCTTTTCTTCGAGTTCTTCCTGGAACTGCTAGATGATCGCCGATACATTCCTGTGGTTGCCGACACAATGTTAGGACACTTGAGGTAAGAAACTGTGGTGCTAACGTAGACGCGGCAGCTGCGCTACGTCCTTTCCTCTAAGACAGGCTTACACCTAGAGCGCAGACGGTCAGAGTCACCGCGATCTCTTCGATTTCCTGCTCTACGCTCACAAATTCCGTGTTTCACGCATGGTAAGTGGCTGAACCACCCGGAACCTCCACCCCTGAAAATGTCCAGTCCCTGGCTCGCAGGCGTTATCCTCTACCCCGTCTGCGCCGTCCCTCTGCAACTCTGGCCGCCTGCGGTCTAACTCCAGGCTTTGGTTGGGGGCAGGAACGCAGAGGCGCTGCCACTGTGGCCGCACTCAAGTGCTTAGCACTAGAAACGAGCAAAGACCTCGTTATTGCTGATGGGAATGGGGGAGGAGGGGGGGGTGGTCCTACTAGAGGATGAGCATTCGAGGGGGAGGGAGGGATGGCCGTATTTTGCGAAAACTTTCCCCAACTGCGGGACATGCTCTTAACTATTTTGATTACCCCACCATTACAGAGCTCCCACTTGGATCGAAGACCTTAGGCAGCGTTCATAGATAGCTCCCGACGATTCGTAACCACTGATCTCCTCAACAGCAAAATCGATACACGTCTCAACCACGCCCCAAATTCCCCAGAAAGGGTAGCTAACCATAACCTTTTAGTGGTGTGACTTTAGGTTCAATTAATTTTCTTTGTTTAGACTCTACCTGCTCAACTACGAACATCAGGAATGTCGACGTCGATACGTGGCCCCATAGGATCGACTATTAAAATAGTTGATAAATAATAATAAAGTCTTGTTTTTCTCTTGTCACTAACAATTTGTCATGACATCCATCAATGACATGGCACTTCACAGCTGTTTCGCTGGAGCGACCAACAACACCTCAACGTCCTTGCACCCCCTACTTCCTCATCCCCCTCGTTTTACCCTCAACAAGTACGCAAGAGGGCTACCTCGAAGTCCAGCGCCAAAGCAGCGTAAGTTGGGGAAGGCGGACAAGACAATCGTAAGTCACGCGACGTCGCGCGCGACATGTCGATGACAGACAGCTTACGGCTGTTCCGCAGGAGATAACAACAACAACAACAACAACAACATTCGTTTTACCCCCAAAACCACTCAGCGCCAACACACATTTGGGAGGGGGGGGGGGGGAGGCAAGGCAATCATAATTTGTCGGGTCGTTGCGCGCTGCATGTCGAACAGCAATAACCTACATACCGGCCCGTCAATATCGAGTTTCCCTTATCCACTGGCACTTACATGCACATGGCCGGGGTGGGGGGTAACTTGTCTAGGCGAGACCAGGGTACATCATTGGTTCGGGATTTTAGTCGAGTCCATACGAATCCCCTCTCCCTTTTTTTGGGTGGGGGGGGGGTTGGTACGATCCCCCACCCTTCGCCTCTCTGTTCTTCCTCATTAACTCGAGCCGTCGACCGGTTAGGGGGTATATACAGTACGCATGGAACAGGAAAATCACGAAAAGCCAACCACTACTCCCATCGGTCTCGTAAATACGACCCCCCACCATTTTAGAACGTCCATGAAACGAAAAAATCAACTTTCAAAATATTCTTCCCTAACCAAATACGACCCCCCCCCCTGTTGGGGATTCCCCAGCAATGATGGGCCCTGGGCGAGAAAGCTCGCCGCTCGCGCCTACCAGTTCAGTATATTTCGATTTTCTTGTCACATATCCCACGAGTAAGAATGAGCCAACTTTCCTCCCCCGTGCAAAACCCTGCCCCTTCACCTCACTTGCACACAACAAATTGTCAAGAAATTACTATGTTATCGATTTATTTCTTCATACATCTGCATCTCACTAGGATAAACAACACCGTACAGAATAAAATGGATTCACAACAAAGATATTTATTACTTAAAAAAATATCTTACACAACTAAACAATAGAATAGAGATAGAGCCTCACAGAGCCCAACCCAGATCTTCGACACGTGATAATAATGGAGATCATCGGGGAAAAACGGCTTAGTCGACTTCTTCGATGGTGGGTCCACCAGCTCCACCGCTGTGGGCACCACCTCCTGGCATACCACCGGGCATTCCACCTGGGGCTCCACCGGCAGCTTGGTACATTTTCGTGATGATCGGATTGCAAACAGACTCGAGTTCCTTTTGTTGGTGCTCAAACTCGTCTTTCTCCGCGGTCTGGTTGCTATCGAGCCATCTGATGACCTCGTCGCATTTCTCCTCGATCTTCTTACGGTCGTCGGCCGAAATCTTGTCTTTCAACTGAAACACGCAACATTAAAAGAGGCACATCTGGGGTGGGTGAAGCGTCAACGAAGTGGGCGGGGCAAAACTCAAAAATTGCTACTCCTACCCCACCACGACTTGAAACGACAGAATATCTATTTTTGCTTACCTTCTCGTCCTCAAGGGTCTGCTTCATGTTGAAAGCGTAGCTCTCGAGTGAGTTCTTTGCTCCAATACGATCTTTCTGTGCCTCGTCTTCAGCCTTGTACCTCTCGGCTTCGTTGACCATTCGTTCGATTTCATCCTGAAATTTACAAGTTTACAAGTTAAAAAAACTGCAATAATTACCCTCCCACCGATATTAAATCCACCATAACTCCACATACCTTCGACAAACGGCCCTTATCGTTAGTGATGGTGATCTTGTTGTGCTTGCCAGTTGACTTGTCTTGGGCCGAGACGTTGAGAATACCGTTGGCATCAATATCGAATGTAACCTGAACAGTTAAGATCAGTTGGCAAAACTTACAGGGAAGAGCTTTTCATAAAACACTGATGAAACATCTACCAACCTCAATTTGCGGTACACCTCGTGGTGCTGGTGGAATTCCAGACAGCTCGAACTTTCCGAGAAGGTTGTTGTCCTTGGTCATTGCACGTTCTCCTTCGAAGACCTGGATCAACACACCAGGCTGGTTGTCGGAATAAGTAGTGAAGGTCTGGCTCGTCTTGGTTGGAATCGTGGTGTTCCTCTTGATCAGAGCTGTCATCACTCCTCCAGCAGTCTCAATACCAAGTGAGAGAGGAGCAACATCAAGAAGGAGGAGATCTTGCACAGCCTCCGACTTGTCTCCAGAAAGAATAGCGGCTTGAACCGCTGCTCCGTAGGCAACAGCCTCATCGGGGTTGATCGACTTGTTGAGTTCCTTTCCAGAGAACAAATCAGACAGCAGCTTCTGCACTTTGGGAATACGAGTAGATCCTCCGACCAGGACGATGTCATGAACCTGGCTCTTGTCCATCTTGGCATCTCTCAACGACTTCTCAACGGGATCCATGGTCGAGCGGAAGAGGTCAGCGCAAAGTTCCTCGAATCGGGCACGAGTAATGTTAGTATAGAAGTCGATACCCTCGAACAGCGAATCAATTTCGATCGAAGCCTGAGACGACGATGACAGAGTACGCTTGGCACGTTCGCAGGCAGTACGGAGACGTCGCAGGGCACGAGGATTGGTGTTGAGATCCTTCTTGTGCTTCCTCTTGAATTCGGCGACGAAGTGGTTGACCATTCGGTTGTCGAAGTCTTCTCCACCAAGATGGGTGTCTCCAGCAGTGGATTTGACTTCAAAGATTCCATCCTCGATGGTCAGGATGGACACATCGAAGGTACCACCTCCAAGATCGAAGATGAGCACGTTTCGCTCTCCGGTACCCTTCTTGTCGAGTCCGTAGGCGATAGCAGCGGCAGTTGGTTCATTGATGATACGAAGAACATTCAGGCCAGCAATGGCTCCAGCATCTTTGGTGGCTTGACGCTGGGAATCGTTGAAGTAGGCTGGCACTGTGACGACGGCATCCTGGAAAAAAAAACAATTAGAAATATGAAATTCGCTCAGACATGAATGTACTCGAAGTTTTAGTTTACTCGTGGGTTTCTGATACCCTCTCCAACCCCTAGCCCGCTAATCGAAGGGATCAATCAAGTTAACACGACTCATGGATGGCGGTTCCCCCCTTGCCATGCATGGTTCCGCGCCCAAAACAAGGGGTAACTAACAGAAAAACGCAGCACGAACGACATACCTTAACAGGAGATCCAAGGAAAGCCTCTGCGGTGTCCTTCATCTTCGTTAGAACCATTGATGAGATCTCCTCCGGGGTGAAGACTTTGGTTTCGCCCTTGTATTCGACTTGAACCTTAGGCTTGGAGCCCTCGGCTGACACAACTTTGAATGGCCAATGCTTCATATCGGATTGGACTGCTGGATCGTCAAATTTGCGTCCAATCAATCGCTTGGCATCTGAAAACAAATCATCAGTGAGCACTCACAGCAAAAACCTGTGAAGCTGGGCACCAAAAACAAGTTACTTCACCGAATACAGTGTTGTGAGGATTCATGGCCACCTGATTCTTGGCGGCATCTCCAATAAGTCGTTCTGTGTCCGTGAATGCAACATAGGAAGGTGTTGTGCGGTTACCTGAAGCATTTGCAGTAAGTGTAAGTAAAAATCAAACAATAGCAAAGCTAAAAGCCTATGCGAATCGCAAGAACTAATGTGTAATTTTGCGTCCGCGCTACAGTGACCCGCGATTTTCAACAGACACTGGACTTCTGGAAGATCGAGCCACTTGCCACGTTCCAGCTTGCCACGAACAAAGATCGCCGTGCGCTCCCTGCCACGGGGCCACTCCAGCGCGAAAGCGATGCTCACAGGCTATTACTGTTTACAAGATTTATGATAACTAACCTTGATCATTGGCGATGATTTCCACTTTTCCGTGCATGAAGACACCCACACACGAATACGTGGTGCCAAGATCAATTCCGACTGCGTTAGCTTTCGTCATGGTAGCTGAAACAACCAGAAGTTAATACTTTGAAACAGGATCAAAAGACGAAACAGATCACGAACGCGATAGACCCGACGAAATGATGATGTCAACACAAAATGAAAACAGGAGCGATTAGGATAAACAAGAGGGCGGAAAGTACAACCAGGGTTCGGACACTACATCCTCCACAACATGACCCCAAGGTTCGAAGGACTAGAGAAAAACAGGGA